TTAGAAGAGATATCTTGGCACCCCATAGTGTTGGTTTAAAGTAACTAAACTATACAATCTAAAATCCTATGTGCCATACCACTAACAACAGCACATTATTATTATTATTTATGATGTCACATACGTTCTTCCATAATCAGCAAGACTAATAATGCTTGGAGACAGTTTGAATGGGTAATTAAGGAAAACTTTAATATGAGTTTAACATAACAGCAAATGTAGGTCACCATTACACTTCTTTTGAAGATGGATTCCTTGATTTTTCATTTGTTTATGTTTGGTTCTTTGTTTAAAATTACTGTGTTTTTAATAGGTATACTACGGTTTTTTTTTAGCTGCAATGGTGGAAAACATGGGACAGTTTTTATTATGTTCTGTGAATCTGGTTTCCAATTTTCTTCTTGTTTCTCCAACGTAGAATTCTGGGCAGTTATTGCATGTTATTTTGTAAATGATGTTGGTACTGTGTGATTATAAATAATTTTTGTTTAGTAACGATTTTAATTTAGGGACGGGTTTTTGAGAGAATTTGACGTTGACAAGAATATTGTGTTTAATGGCTAGTTTTGTCTCCAAGCACTATTAGTCTCAAAGTGGGTTCCTCATCATCGAATCAGCAAGACTGTTCAACAGTAAAGTTTGGAGGGTTATTTACACTGTGAGGTGAGTAAAACTTTTTAAATGTCATCTTTGTTTCATATTATTATTTTTTAAAGAACTACATGTATTCATTTCACATACAGTATTATCTTTTATCAGACACTTGTACTTGTAACTTGTCCATCTTACTAATATAACTTTTTTAATACAAAAATTGTTTGAAGCTAATAACATGCTGCTTAATACATCAACTCTGAAGATAATGTGCAGAGATGTTTTTATACAATGGTTAGACAGGATTCAGAGGAAAATACTTTTTAAAAGGCACCAAAGCCTAATTTAGAAACTGATGCATTATGTGAATTTGAATTACCATAAATAATTATCATCAAGACTAAAGACTATTGTTTTAAATTTTGCACAAATCTTGAATTATACAGAAAACTGAGTGTAAAAAAAAAATCTGGTAGTTCCACAGATTTTACTTCACCCAACACGTGTTACAAGTTAGGGTTTTATGTAATTTGAATATTTTCCTAAATCATATTACATAATTTTGTTACTAAGGTTGCTTGTCATCTGCTTCCCAGATTGGTGGCTTATCTAGACTGACACCTGAAAGTTCCACAACTCAGCCATTCTAACTGTCATGTTTCTCTGCATATGAATTCTACATCACATCACATATGTAAATTACTGTAATATCTTCCCTTTTTAATGAATAAAATATTGTGGTTTAGATCACCATTACACTTCTTTTCAATATCTTTACTACATACTACTTCATTTTATGTCCTCCCCTTATTAATTTTTTATGTGCTTTTAAGGTTACTATCAGTTCAAAATCCTTTGACATACACTACACTGTGTAAATTCTCTTTATCCAAAACCAAAATAGTTCCAAACATCTCCCTTGTGTGTTCCTTCATATATTTAAAATGAAAATTCTCGGTCACTATCATTACAGAAATATCAATCTTCTCAGTGTACATTTTAATTATGAATTTTGCAAAAATGTTTCTTACAACAGACATCAAAAATCTAGATTTTAATTCAACATGTATTCCTTGTCAATAATATCAAGTTTTTGCTTACTAAAATTGAATTTTATCCCTCTTCTCTGGTGCGTTTTTTGATACTTTTTTATGTAACTTCTTATTCAAAATTTCAAAATCTTGGGTTTCTCTCCATTGCAAATTTTCTGTCTTTTTAGGTAACTTTTAATTCCAAATTTCTTGGTATATATTTCACAAATATGTTTTTTTCCACTGTGTGTTCCCTCATGTCTTTTGAGATCACTATTGCTTCAAAATTCTTTGTTGCACATTAAACAAAATTATGATTTCTCCCCAATGTGGATCCTCTGATGCATTTTTAGGTTATTACTTCTTCCAAATTCTTTGCCACACACTACACAACAGTACTGTTTTCTCTCAGTGTGTATCCTCTCATGCTTTTTGAGGCTGCTATTACTTCCAAATTCTTTGCCACACACTACACAACTGTATGGTTTCTCCCCAGTATGTATCCTCTGATGTATTTTGAGGTCACTATTTCTTCCAAATTCTTTTCCACATACTACACAGTTGTGTTGCTTTTCCCCAGTGTGTATCTTTTCATGTTTCTTTAGGTCACTACTACTTCCAAATTCTTTGTCACAACCAACACATTTGAATGGTTTCTCCCCAGTGTGTATTCTCAAATGTATTTTTAGATCACTATTTCTACAAAATTCCTTGCCACACATATCACAACTGTATGGTTTCTCCCTCGTGTGTATCCTCTTATGTATTTTTAAGACACCATTTCTTCCAAATTTTTTACCACACACTACACAACCGTATGGTTTCTTACCAGTGTGTATTTTTTCATGCTGTTTTAGAGCACTTTTTTTATGGAATTCTTTGCCACACATAACACAACTATACGTTTTATTTACACTATGGGAAACATCATGTGTCCTTGGTTTATTTCCCCTTGAAAATGTTTTGTTAAACACATCACTAAAACTTTGCTTCTCAAGTTCTCTATTTTTAATTTTTGTATAGGAAGCTTCTTGTGTTGAAGTACAATAACCTGGAAATGGCTTGTCACAACATTTGGCCATGTAAGTTGGATCTACAAATAAAAGTTAATAACCAATAAATGTACTTTACAAAACTTTGAAGCTTCCTAAGTGATTACTCACAATAATCTAATACAATAAACTGCTAAAATATATTCAAACAATATATACACACTTTAAACAATATAGCGATCTGGAAGATGGAATAGCATAAGTGTCATTTTCTTCAAATGAAGAATGTATTTTTGAAAGGAGTTTCTATAAAAGTTATAAACAGTTTGAATGTTTAGAGCTTTTATACTTAAAATCAGTTTGAAAATACTATCATCTTA